CACGCCAACCTGCAAAAATGTATGCTGAAACACTGCTTGCAAGATATAAACGCCAGGTTCGAGCACGTAGAGTACATAAGATGGAACAACGTGGAATACCACAGAGAAATCGAAGAAAAATTGATGTTTTGCGTGAAGCGCCACATCCAGCTCACCGAGTAAGATAATTATAAATTTTGAAGGTAAAACCAACAAGTTTTTCAGAACCGCTTTAATACCCTTACGACTGGCGGAAGTGTACGTTTTGCCGTTTCAAATCATGGGTACTTGCGGCGTGGCTAGTATTCTTCTAGTCTTTTTTGCGGTACTTCTTCAACTAACGTCAAATTTTTAATTAACATTGTAGTTTGAAGGTTCTTTGTCCGATCAGTACTTTCGCATGTTAGTTTTGGCACTTACGACGTCTGCTATGTTGTTAGGATTTGCAGCCGGTGGGCAAGGAATCGAAGATTGGGTACGTTGTAACACAGTCGTGGTATTTTACCAAACCCGAAATTACTTACAGTCGGAGGAAATCTACGAAACTCTGTGCCAAGTCGAGTGGTACCACTGGAACTCAAAAAACAAAAAGACCTATCTGTTTTTCCTGATGAACGCGACCCGAATATTCAAGATCAAGTACTCTGAAAATATTTCGCTTAACTATCAGCTGGGGTTAAAGGTACGACTTGGGGTTGCTGGGACGTAATAAACCGGTGATTTCAGATTGTGAACGCCATTTTCTCCGCCATGTCGGTGATATATAGTTTACAGCAGAAGAAGTACTCGTAAGTAAAGAAGGTCCATCACAACGTAGTCGAGATAAATTTCTCTAGGATCTTTTTATTGTTAAAATGTTAGCTTTTCATTCAATAAAAAAATAACGACAATTTTAGTTTTATTTATAAGTAATAATATTAATATTAATAATAATAGTAATACATTGCCCGTTTGTGGTCGAAAAACGCGTCTGCTTTTTCTTAAAAACTAGGGGAAGTAGAGTTTTTACCTGCAATGCCGTCTGATGATTAAAGCAAGAATATGAAAAAATTGTGACTCGATAACTGTCGTTTATCAATGCATCCACAGATTTTACAGTTACTGGTGTGTAGCGGTGAGGGGAGATTATAAACAATTGTGTATGGCACACAGTTTTATTGAAAATTGATTATTACATCAGAGCACCCGTGTGCTAGATGTTCCGGACAAAACTTAATAGCGACTGACTTAAAAACTAACTGTGTCGGTGTAACATAAGAAGTCGCCCCCGAATCGAAACCCAATGATTTTTTACGGGTCAAACGGGTCAAAGGGGTGGCTGCAGACCTGCAGCTGCAACGTTTCTTTGACACACCGACGACATAGGCGTACTAAAGACATAGGCGTACCGACGACATTGTAGCACACGCAACAGTTACTTATACAGGGTGACTCAAAAAAATTAATGAATGAGACAGTTACTTATACAGAGTGACTCAAAAAAATTAATGAATGAGACAGTTTATTGTATTGCTTAAAATCTAGAACGACTCCTCAATTTTTCCGAGAATTTGGGAGTACAATACCGTTATTATCGGTGTTACACCACATGTGTACGAGGTACATATTATAAATTTTGTGTGGAAAACTCATGTACTTTAACATTACACACATATCATTTATTTTAACTTACAAAATATCATGAAAAAAGTAAAATTCGCAACATCAACCATTCGACCGATTTTTTGGTATCTCAATTTTTCGTTTTTTCAACTTGCGTTTTATCGATTTTTAAGTTTCTCAATTTTTAATGTTTCATCTGATTTCCAATTCTAGATTTTTCAAAGTTTTCATTTTATACTTTTTTGTTTTTTCATTTTTTGTTTCTCATTTTTAGAATTTGGCAATTTTTTCATTTTTTTGAGTCGAAAGTTAAAAACTCGAAAAAGTCGAAAATCGAGAAACTTGAAAATCGAAAAAAACTATTAAAAAGCAAAATTGGAATGAAGAAAGAAACCAATGGAATCGAAAAATTAGTGACCCAAAAATTTAGAATCGCCAAAATTTTTGAAAATTGTACAACTGAAGGATCGAAAAAATGAAAGACTAAATTGTGATAAATTGAAAAATTAAGAATCGAAAAAGTCTGAACTGAATTTAATTTCTCTTTGTGTATACATGATCATGTCCACGATAGATTAACGTCTGTTGGAACAAACTTATTATTATTATTATTATTATTAATATTATTATTAAAAAATTGGAATAAAGAAAAAAACAATCAAATCGAAAAATTGGTAACCCAAAAATTATAAAATTGAAAAATTAAAAGTTGAAATGGTCTTAAAACCAAGTGTTGAAAACAGAAAAAATTCTAAAACCGTGTAATTGAAAGATTGAGAAATTTTAAATTGCAATTATTATTACATATTTAAAATGAAAACTAGAAAAACTGCAAATGAAAAATTGAGGAAACTGAAAATTAAAAAAATCTAAAAATTCCAAAACCGAAACATTGAAAACCGGAAAATTGCAAATCGAGAGAATAGAAAATCCAAAAAATGAAAAATTTTACACTGAAAAAAGGAACATTACAAACGCAAAACATCGAAAAACCGAAAAATTGAAGAAGTGACAAATTGAAAAATCGTGAAACTGCAAATCAAAAACTAACAAAATCTAGAAATTGAAACGTCAACAAAACAATTTAAAACTAAAAAATTGCAAACTGAAAATTTGTTGAAATGAAAAAGTAAACAATCGAAAAATTTGAACCGAAAAACTGGAAAATTTCAACAACGAAAAATTGAAGAATTGAATAAAATATTGAATAAAAAAAAACAATAATGACAAAAGAATTGCGGTCTTGTTAGTAATTTCTTACGTGGACAATGAGTAGCCGATAATCATCAATTATTGATATTAATTCCATCGCTACGTCAAACTATATTTAACATAATTGTCGCTAATACTGGGAAGTTTCTCTTTGTTCAATCTTCAAAGGGGATCCAGGTAAGGGCAGACAGTATCTTATTATTATTATTACAATTTCCTTAACAAATAAAACTAAAATTCTTCACGCAAAACATCAATTTACAGAGGCGATACATAGACAATTTATTTGAGAAATTTGAAATGGGTCATTGCAATCCGGTCTCTACACCGTTAGAGTTGGGGATTAATTTGACGAAAGACGGAGAAGAATACGCTTGCCCGAAGAATATCTCTTATCAAGAAGTCGTCGACGGACTGATGTATTTATCTATGGTAACTAGACCAGATATAACACATGCGGAAGCTACCTCAGTCAATTTAGCAGTTGTTTTAGAGAGTCTCGTTGGAAGGCAACAAAAAGGATCTTACGTTATCTTAAAGAGACTACATATTTGAATCTATATTTGAACCTCCGGTAATGTACACTGACGCTGAATGGGTCAGTTGTCTTGTTAATAGGAGGTTTTATACGAGATAAGTTTTCCAAATCGGGGCTACAGCAGTTCGCGATCTATCCAAGGAGCCTCGAGATCGATCCCCGCAAAGGCAACTTGTTTTCTGCTTTAATTATTTGAATTTCATTTAAGTATTATGTAATCCTATGTATCATTAAAACTCATTAAAAACTATAAAAATCCATTTTGGGGTGCCTAAAAACAAGCAATACATAACTATATGTATACGAAACAATTTTCTTAATCATAGTAGTGAAACTACTGAAGATCATTAACGACATAATGCTATGGGCGTGGGGGTTGTTCAACTTTATATTGTTACTACATTATAAAAAGTGTATTTGTATCGATTGTTCATTAACAACAACCTTAACGATTCTTGCGTTCAAATAGTAGTTAAATACGTTCGCTGAGCATTCTCTTAGTCCTGAAACGAGAGGATGGAAGGTAAGTTTCTCGAATTTACTCAGTTTTAAAGCGAAATCTTTTCAGTAACAAATTATATCAGAATATGTCGTTTCTTCACGGTGGACATTTTTGAATATAGAGCCATGAAATATTGCCTCTTGGCAATATCTTTGATTATATCACTCTCGATTCTCCTCCAAGGATATTTCTTTTTAAAAAATTTCGAATTGAAGTATTTCGTGCAGTACGAGCCGCTTTACATTCTGATATTATATGTGAGTAACGAAATTCGAAACATGAATTAAACTAATTACTAATTGTAGATGGTGGTATCCATTTACTGCCAAGCTTACACCACAAACATTATCAAAAGTTCCATACACCAAATCCAAGTGTGGAAAATCGAAGAAGCCACGAAAGAGATTAAAGGAAAAGTGACGCAAACTTGGATTTGCATTATGGCGTACATGTGCACGACCACGGTTCTAAGTCTCGTGGGTACGATATCCTTCATCGTACCAACTTCCAGAGACAAGGATCTTATTTTTTTGTTCAAAATATCAGAACTGTATTTTCCGCAAAGGGAAAATTTTGTCGTGTGGTGTTTAAAAGCTATGCTGTTTGTGTTGACCTACGTGGGCGTAAGTGTACCTGGATTCGCGCTTTTGTATTTACACGGCCACCTCAACCTACAAAAATTTATGCTGAAGCACTGCTTGCAAGATATAAACGCCAGCTTCGAGCACGTAGAGTACATAAGTTGGAACAACGTGGAATACCACAGAGAAATCGAAGATAAATTGATGTCTTGCGTGAAGTACCACATCCAGTTCACTGAGTAAGATAGTTATGAATTTTGAAGGTAAAACCAACGAGTTTTTCAGAACCGCTTTAAGAGCCTTAGGACTCACGCAAGTGTACGTTTTGCCGTTTCAAATCATGGGTACCTGCGTAATGGCGAGCATTATTCTAGTCTTTTTTGCGGTACTTCTCCCACTAACGTCAAATTTTTTATTAACATTGTAGTTTGAAGGTTCTTTGTCCGACCAGTACTTTCGCGTGGTACTTTTGGTACTTACGACGTCTACTATGTTGCTAGGGTTTGCAGTCGGTGGGCAAGGAATCGAAGATTGGGTACGTTGTAACATAGTCACGGTTTTTTACCAAACCCCAAATTACTTACAGTCGGAGGAAATATACGAAGCTCTGAGCCAAGTCGAGTGGTACCACTGGAACTCAAAAAACAAAAAGACTTATCTGTTTTTCCTGATGCACGCAACGCGAAAATTCAAGATCAAGTACTCTGAAAATATTTCGCTTAACTATCAGCTGGGGTTAAAGGTACGACTTGGGGTTGCTGGGACGCAATAAACCTGTGATTTCAGGTCGTGAACGCCATTTTCTCCGCCATGTCGGTCATATATAGTTTACAGCAGAAGAAGAACTCGTAAGTAAAGAAAGTGTATCACAACATAGTCGAGATAAATTTCTCTAGGATCGTTTTATTGTTAAAATGTTAGCTTTCCATTCAATAAAAAATAACAACAATTTTAGTTTTATTTATACATAATAATATTAATAATAGTAAAATATTGCCCGCTTGTGGTCTAAAAACGCGTCTGCTTTTTATTAAAAACTAGATGAACAAATTGTGACTCTATAACTGTCGTTTATCAATGCAGTCGCAGATTTTACAGTTACTTATACAGGGCGACAAATAGTGATCAAATAACAAAAACTCCGACAGAGCTGAATTTTGGTACAGACCTTGGGTACACCAGTAGAAATAAGTTGTCAAAAGTCCCCATAGATCCCATGTGTTCTAAAAAAGTTATTCAAGGTCAAAAGTCAATTTTTTTTGTTTTTTTCGATTTTTCTCCGAAACGGTAAATTTTATCAAAAATATAGTTCAAACAAAAATTATAAAGCTTAAAATTATCTACAAAAATGGTCCGTATAGTTTTTTACCTAAGAACGACCATTCCTAAGATATCGCCGTTCTAAAAGTTGAAGCAGTTACATTCTACATGATATGCACACATTTCCACACCACCTGTGATGTAGTGTACTTGGCGCGTTTTTTTAACGTGGTTTACCCAGTAAGCCTACGATCTGTTATGACGGAGTTTTATGGGAAAATACTGTAATAACTGCATGATGATTATTGATTTTTGTTTTGAAATCTTGCAGATGTTTTAAGGTTATAAAGAGCATAATAAATTTTTAGTCAAAATAAATTTTGTTATCTTCTCCAAAAAACTGATGACGTCAGCTCAACAGTTTGCCGAATAAATCCTAACTAGAATATAATCGAAAAATTGAGGAACTGAAAAACTGAAAAATCGAAACCTTGGCAAGTCGAAAATGGGAAAATCAAAAAAATAGATTAATTGACAAATCGGAAAACTGAAAATTCAGAAACGTCAAAACTCGAAAATTTAAAAAATTGGAAAATTGAAAAATCGGATAATTCAAAAAACGAAAAACCCATAAATCGAAACATCGAAAAATTCAAAAACTGAGACAATCAAAACATCCATACATCCGAATCTCGATAAATCTTCAAAAAATTGAAAAATCGAAAAATAAAAAATTCGGAAAAAAGAAAAATTAAAATATACAAGAACTGAAAACTCGAAAAATTCAGAAATCGAAATATATATAAAACAGTCCAAAATTGAAAAATCCAAAGTTTAAAGAACGAAAAACTGAAAATCCAAAAAATTAAAAATCGAAAAGTCGAAAAATAGAAATATTGAAAAATCCCAAAACTGAAACAAATATCCAAAATTGAGAAATTGAAAAATTAGCCAACCGAAAAATCCAAAAATCGAAGAATTGAAGAACTGAAAAATCGAAACTGCGAAACGAGAACCGGGAAAATCAAAAAAATATATATTAATTGAAAAATCGGTAAACTGAAAATTTAGCAACGTCAAAAATTTGAAAAATTGTAAAATAGAAATACTGCAGAACTGAAAAATCAAAAAATCCAGAAATCGAAAAATCCAAAATTTAAAACATTGAACAATCGAAATACCGAAAAACTGAAAAATGGACAAATCCAAACCCCAAAATTTAAAAAAATTGAAAAATCGGATTACTGAAAAATCGAAACATCGAGAAATAGAAAAAAATCGAGAAATTGATAAATTGAGAAATAAAAAAAAAATGAAAAATTTTAAAAAAGAAAAATTAAAACATCGTAAAGTTGAAAAAAAAATTAAGAAATCGAAGTATAAAACTGTCGAAAATTTGAGAAATCTAAAGTTTGACGAAAAATTGAAAATCCAAAAAGTAAAAAATTGGTCTAAAGAGTTTAGACAGTACTTCCCTCGCTGTCGGAAACTTGACGACTGCATGCCTATTGTGTTTTTTTTCTCATTACATTTTTGTAGTGGGAATTTAAAAAAAAATTGCGATGACGTCATCAACATTTCAAGGACACGTATATCAATTGGGATAGATGTAGTGTAATACTAAGAATAAAATTATTATATTCTCAAATTTTCGGGAAAATGAATTGGGTCGTTTTGAATATTGATTTGTAATAATCAATAAAATAACGAAACAATTTACTCACGTATACGTATCAGAGGCAACTGAAAATCGTGTATGTATAAACATTCTTAATTTAAGATGACAGGCGTAACAGCATACGTGAGAGTCAAACAGAGAAACAGTAAACAAAACGACCATCGGTTTTATTGCTTCGACTTCCGCTTATTATATAAAACATTGGGTTTTATTTTAATTCTTGACGGTGAAATTCACAATCGGTTGATTATAAACATGTCTGTTTCACATTCGCGGAACCAAGTGAGCGCATAAAACAAATGCAGGTCTGTAATGTTAAAGTCGATGTAAATAAGCGTGCTACCCTTATGTTTCAACCGAGTTTTTCCTTTAACAAATTTTGTGTCTACCAAATTGGGTTGGTCGGGGTGTAATACTAATAATAAGTGTTGCCTTTAATTTAATCAATAAAATAAATTGACTTCATTAATTTTTTTGAACCACCTCTTAAGAAAATCTAAAAAATATGAATGGAATGATAAATTACAAGTACAAACTCATCATATTTTTTGCATTTTAGATAGGATTTATTCAGCAAAATTTAAGGGTGACGTCGTCAATTTTTTTAGGAGGGATGAACAAATACATTTTGAACAAAAGTTTACCATGCTTATAATAACTTTAAAATATTCCCTAGATTTCAAAGCATTCGGTTTTGTAATTCCTGATTAAATCGATAAAATAAATTCACGCCTTCATTAATTTTTTTGAGTCACCCTGCATATGCAAATCCAAAAATATGAATGGAATGATAAATCACAAGTACAGACTCATCATATTTTGTACATTGTAGATACGATTTATTCGGCAAACTTTTGAGCTGACGCCATCAGTTTTTTGTAGAAGATAACCAAATATATTTTGACTAAAAATTTATTATGCTCTTTATAACCTTAAAACATCTGCAAGATTTCAAAGCATTCGGTTTTGTAGTTCCTGATTAAATCAATAAAATAAATTTACGCATTCATTAATTTTTTTGAGTCACCCTGTATATGCAAATCGAAAAAATTTGAATGGAATGATAAATCACAAGAAGAGACTCACCATATTTTGTACATTTCAGCAAAATTTTGTGGTGACATCATAAATTTTTTAGGGGGGAGGACCAAATACGTTTTGATCAAAAATTTACCATGCTTATGATAATTTTAAAATATCTTCAAGATTTCGAAGCATTCGGTTTTGTAGTTCCTGAGTAAATCAGTAAAATAAATTTACGCTTTCATTTATTTTCTTGAATCACCCTGTATATGCAAATCCAAAAAATATGAATGGAGTGATAGATCACAAGTACAGACTAATCATATTTTGTACATTTTAGATATGATTTATTCGGCAAATTTTCGAGCTGACGTCATCAAGTTTTTGGAGGGTAAGCAAATATATTTTGACTAAACATTTATTATGCTCTTTATAACCTTAAAACATCTGCAAGATGTCAGAGCATTCCGTTTTGTAGTTCCTGATTAAATCAATAAAATATATTTACGCATTCATTAATTTTTTTGAGTCACTCTGTATATGCAAATCCAAAAAATATGAATGGAGTGATAGATCACAAGTACAGAGTCATCATATTTTGTACATTTTAGATATGATTTATTCCACAAACTTTTGAGCTGACGTCATCAAGTTTTTGGAGGGGATAAGCTAATATTTTTTGACTAAAGATTTATGATGCTCTTTATAGCCTTAAAACATCTGCAACATTTCAAAGCATTCTGGTTAGCAGATTAAAAATTAAATTTCAAAATGTTGTTTTATAATTTTGATTTTTTTTCCAAAAATCTGGACGTTTCGGGTGAAAAGTCGATTCAGAGTTGTAAACTACATGTGTAGGACTATGTTATTTTATACAATTGAAAACCCATTTACTATGTACAATTTTGAAGTGACGTCATCGCATTAGTGGTGGAGATGATTAGACAAATTTTGGTTAGCGTTTTACCATCTACATGATATTCTTAATATAAGTACAAAATTTCACAACAATCAGTACTTTCGGAGATTATCTGTGTAATAAAATCCGGGACAACAGACGGACAGACGGACGGACAGACGGACGGACAGACGGACAGACAGACGGAAATGGGAGACCTATTTCTTCGTCTTCTAGGGGTCATGAAAGATCGAGAAAACGTAAAAGTAGAGAGTCGGCCGACGGACTCGATTACAATACTTCCTTTGCTTACGCTCGGGAAGTAAAAATGACGAGAATTTTTGTTTCATTTATAAATAATAATAATAATAATAGTAATACATTGCCCGCTTGTGGTCTAAAAACGCGTCTGCTTTTTATTAAATATTAGGCGAAGTGTGATTGTATATTTGTCGTTTATTAATGCATTCACAGATTTTGCAGTTAGTTATACAGGCTGACTTAAAAAAAGTTAAAAAATCGAAAAAGCGGGAAACTTGGAAATGGAAAAAATTACTAAAAAGCAGAAGTAGTTTAAGATGGCGTACAGTCAACAGGGCGATAAAGTTGGTTAGATGTAATGTAATACTGAATATAAAAGTACTGCATTCCCAAATTTTCGGGAAAATGAATTGGGTCGTCTTGAATATTAATTTATAAGCAATAAAATAACGAAACAGTTTGCTCACGTATGCCGCGCGTTTTAGCAGAGGCGACTGAAAATCATTTATGTATATCAACAAGCGATAACAGACTGTATACGTGAGAGTCAAACAGAGAAATCGCAAACAATACCGATGGTCGCCCAGACTTTTTTATTGCTTCGACTTCCGCTTAATACATAAAACATTGGATTTTATTTTAATTTTTGATGGTGTAACAAAACAAATGCACGTCTGTAAATGTAAATAAGCGTGCTGCGCCTATGTTTCAAACGAGTTTTTACTTTACAAAATTTTGTGTCTATCAAAATGGGTTGGTGCAATGTAACACTAATAATAATAACAGTATTGTATCTACAAATTTTCGGGAAAATGGAATGAGCTATCCCTGATAACGTAAATTGACTCATTCATTAATTTATCCAAAGCTTTTGATAGGGTAGATCATTGCGTATTGTTAAAAAACTTGATAGAATAGGAATATGTCATCAGCTATTAATGATTTTTAGAAATCTCCTGTTTGGTAGGGAACAATTATTTGAAATTCAAGGAGTCAAGTCAACACTCTTTCCTATTAACAGCGGTGTTACTCGAGGCAACCTAGGCCCGCTGTTGTTTACTGTTTTTTTCAATGATGTACTAAATGTTATTAATAGTAGAGTGTTTATATATGCCGATGATTTAAAAATAGCTAAAGTAATAAAAACGAACAGATATTGTTTAGTTTTGCAAGATAATGTACATAAATTAACGCTGTGGTATGTACAGAATAAGTTAAGCCTTAATAAAAAAAAATGTATAAAAATTACGTTCTCCAGGAAAGACAATACTTTTAATTTTTATTACAAAATTAATGGAACTTTGCGAGAAAATTGTAATCAAATACGCGATTTAAGCATAATTGTACACTCTGCATTGTCATTTGATCGAAAAAATGAAAAATTAAATATTGAGAAATTGAAAAATTAAAAGTCGAAAAAGTCTTAAAACCAAGTATTGAAAACAGAAAAAATTCTAAAACCGTGTAATCGAAAAATTGAGAAATTTTAAATTGCAATTATTATAACATATTTAAAATGAAAATTAGAAAAACTGCAAATTAAAAATTGAGGAAACGAAAAATTAAAAAAATCTGAAAATTCTAAAACCGAAACATTGAAAACCGGAAAATTGCAAATCGGGAAAATAAAAAATCCAAAAAATGAAAAATTTTACACTGAAAAAAGAAACATTACAAACGAAAAACATAGAAAAACCGAAAAATTGAAGAAGTGAGAAACTGAATAGTCGTGAAATTGCAAATCAAAAACTAACAAAATGTAGAAATTGAAGCGCCAACAAAATAATTTAAAAGTAAAAAATTGCAAACCGAAAAATGGAAAAAAATGAAACATTGAAAAAACAAAAAATCATAAAATCTGAACAATGAAAAATCGAAAAATTGTAAAAATGGAAATAATAAAAAGCGAAACGACAAATTGCAAACTGAAAATTTGTTGAAATGAAAAATTAAACAATCGAAAAATTTGAACTGAAAAATTGGAAAATTTCAACCACGAAAAGTTGAAGGATTGAATGAAATATTAAATAAAAAAAATCGTAATGACAAAATAATTGCGGTCTTGTTAGTAATTTCTTATATAGACAATCAGTAGCCCATAATAATCATCGATTATTGATATTAACTGCATCGCTAGGTCAAACTATATTTAACATAATTGTCGCTAATGTTGGTAACTTTTCAAGCCACGTCGTGTTTAATAAAAAGCAGACGTGTTTTTCGACCAGAAGCATTCAGTATCTTATTATTATTATCACAATTTCCTTAACAAATAAAACTAAAATTTTTCACGCAAAACATCAATTTGTCTTGGATCTTCCGGTAGTACTCGACGTTATTGCAGATGCAGATCCTTGTGTATACGTCGTCCAGTCATCGAACGTCACAAGTTTTCTAGTCATTTCGGTTGACGATATATTGATTATGTCGGGTAGTGAAGTCGGAATCGAACGACTGAAGAGTTGTCTTTGTTAAAAGTTTGAAGTCAAAGATTTGGGGGATCTTGAGTACTGTCTAGGTATTGGCCGAAGAATGTCCTTTATCAAGAACTCAACGGCGGACTGATGTATTTATCTATGGGAATTAGACCAGATATTACACATGAGAGTCCCATTGGAAGGCAACCAAAGAGGTCTTACGTTATCTTAAAAGGACTACAGATTTGAATCTATATTTGAACCTCCGGTGATGTAAACTGGCGCTGACTGGAGCAGTTGTCTTGTTAATAGGAAGTCTTATACGAGATAAGTTTTCCTTATCGGGGGCACACCAGTGAGCTGGGGATCAAGGAAACAGCTCTGCAGCTCTTTCATCGACAAAGGCAATGATAATTTTGAAGAATGATAACATTGGCGCTGAAAACTTATAGGGAAACCCAGTTTTTCAAGCTCGATCGAAGCACATAGATTTACGATATCATTTTATTCGAGACTGTGTGAAGAAGGAGATCGTGATTGAGCACGTCGCTACTGAGGAGATGACAGCGGACATTCTAACCAAAGAACTTTCCAAGGCTAAGCATGAAAAGTGTATACAAGGTCTTGGGATGAGACGCGACGGAGTAAAGTATTTGCTTATAAAGTAGTTGAGGTTTGAGGAAAAGTGTTGGTCATGTGTACATTTATTTCATCCCTCACATAATTTTATGTTGTCAACGTAGTTCGCAATCTATCCCAGAGGCCTCGAGTTCGATCCCCGCAAACCCATTTTTTCCCTGATTTTATTATTCAAATTTCATATATGAGTATTTTGGAATTTTATGTATTACTGTAACTGATTAAAAATTATATAAATCCATTTTGGGGTGTCTAAAAACAAGGGATAATTGGAACTATATGAAACAATTTTATTATATACAGTAAGTAAACTGCTGAACATCATTAATGACAGATTACAATGCTATGGGCGTGGTGTTTTTCCAACTTTATATTCTTAGTTGTTTATAGAAGGGGCATTTGTATCGATTGTTAATTGACAACTACCTTAACGATTCTTGCGTTCAAATAGTCGTTAAATACGATCGTTGAGCATTCTCTTAGTCTTGAAACGAAAGGATGGAAGGTAAGTTTCTTGAATTTATTCAGTTTTAAAGCGAAATCTTTTCAGTAACAAATTATATCAGAATATGTCGTTTCTTCACGGTGGACATTTTTGAATGTAGACCCATGAAATATTGCCTCTTGGCAATATCTTTGATTCTAACACCTTTGATTCTCCTCCAAGGATATTTCTTTTTAAAAAAATTCGAACTGAAGTATTTCGTTCAGTACGAGCCGCTTTACATTCTGTTATTATATGTGAGTAACGAAATTCGAAACATGAATTAAACTAATTACTAATTGTAGATGGTGGTATCCATTTACTGCCAAGCTTACACCACAAACATTATCAAAAGTTGCATTCACCAAATCCAAGTGTGGAAAATCGAAGAAGCCACAAAAGAGATTAAAGGAAAAGTGACGCAAACTTGGATTTATATAACGGCGTACATGTGCATGACCACGGCACTAGGACTCCTGGGTGCGATATCCTTCATCGTACCAACTTCTAGAGACAAAGATCTTATTTTCTTGTTCAAAATATCAGAACTGTATTTTCCGCAAAGGGAAAATTTTGTCGTGTGGTGTTTCAAACCTACGGTGTTTGTGTTGACTTACGTGGGCGTAAGTGTACCTGGATTCGCGATTTTGTATTTCCACGGCCACCTCAACCTACAAAAATTTATGCTGAAACACTGCTTGCAAGAAATAAACGCCAGGTTCGAGCACGTAGAGTACATTAGATGGAACAATGTGGAATACCACAGAGAAATCGAAGATAAATTGATGTCTTGCGTGAAGTACCACATCCAACTCACTGAGTAAGATAATTATAAATTTTGAAGGTAAAACCAACGAGTTTTTCAGAACCGCTTTAAGACCCTTACGACTGGCGGAAGTGTACGTTTTGCCGTTTCAAATCATGGGTACCTGCGTCGTGGCTAGTATTCTTCTAGTCTTTTTTGCGGTACTTCTTCAACTAACGTCAAATTTTTAATTAACATTGTAGTTTGAAGGTTCTTTGTCCGATCAGTACTTTCGCATGGTATTTATGATACTTACGACGTCTGCTATGTTGGTAGGGTTTGCAGCCGGTGGGCAAGGAATCGAAGATTGGGTACGTTGTAACATAGTCGTGGTACTTTACCAAACCCCAAAATACTTTCAGTCGGAGGAAATCTACGAAACTCTGTGCCAAGTCGAGTGGTACCACTGGAACTCAAAAAACAAAAAGACTTACCTGTTTTTCCTGATAAACGCGACGCGAATATTCAAGATCAAGTACTCTGACAACATTTCGCTTAACTATCAGTTGGGGTTAAAGGTACGACTTGAGGTTGCTGGGACGAAATAAACCGGTGGTTTCAGGTCGTGAATGCCCTTTTCTCTGCCCTGTCGGTCATGTATAGTTTACAGAAAAAGAACTACTCGTAAGTAAAGAAGGTGCATCACAACGTAGTCGAGATAAATTTCCCTAGGATCTTTTTATTGTTAAAATGTTAGCTTTCCATTCAATAAAAAAAATGACAAGAATTTTAGTTTTATTTATAAATAATAATAATAATAATAGTCATACATTGCTCGCTTGTGGTCGAAAAATACGTCTGCTTTTTCTTAAAAACCAGGGGAAGTAGAGTTTTCACCTGCAATCCCGTCTGATGATTAAAGAAAGAATATGAAAAAATTGTGACTCGATAACTGTCGTTTATCAATGCATTCGCAGATTTTACAGTTTCTTGTTGCAGATGTTTTAAGGCTATAAAGAGCATCATAAATCTTTAGGCAAAAAATATTTGCTTATCCCCTCCAAAAACTTGATGACGTCAGCTCAAAAGTTTGTGGAATAAATCATATCTAAAATGTACAAAATATGATGAGTCTGTACTTGTGATCTATCACTCCATTCATATTTTTTGGATTTGCATATACAGGGTGACTCAAAAAAATTAATGAATGCGTAAATATATTTTATTGATTTAATCAGGAACTACAAAACCGAATGCTCTGAAATCTTGCAGTTGTTTTAAGGTCATAAAGAGCATAATAAATATTTAGTCAAAATATATTTGCTTATCCCCTCCAAAAACTTGATGACGTCAGCTCGAAAGTTTGCCGAATAAATCATATCTAAAATGTACAAAATATGATGAGCCTGTACTTGTCATTTATCACTCCATTCATATTTTTTGGATTTGCATATACAGAGTGACTCAAAAAAATTAATGAATGCGCAAATATATTTTATTGATTTAATCAGGAACTACAAAACGGAATGCTCTGACATCTTGCAGATGTTTTAAGCTTATAAAGAGCATAATAAATGTTTAGTCAAAATATATTTGCTTATCCCCTCCAAAAACTTGATGACGTCAGCTCGAAAATTTGCCGAATAAATCATATCAAAAATGTACAAAATATGATCAGTCTGTACTTGTGATCTATCACTCCATTCATATTTTTTGGATTTGCATATACAGGGTGATTCAAGAAAATAAATGAAAGCGTAAATTTATTTTACTGATTTACTCAGGAACTACAAAACCGAATGCTTCGAAATCTTGAAGATATTTTAAAATTATCATAAGCATGGTAAATTTTTGATCAAAACGTATTTGGTCGTCCCCCCTAAAAAATTTATGATGTCACCACAAAATTTTGCTGAAAAAATCCTATCTAAAATGTACAAAATATGGTGAGTCTCTTCTTGTGATTTATCATTCCATTCAAATTTTTTCGATTTGCATATACAGGGTGACTCAAAAAAATTAATGAATGCGTAAATTTATTTTATTGATTTAATCAGGAACTACAAAACCGAATGCTTTGATATCTTGCAGATGTTTTAAGGTTATAAAGAGCATAATAAATTTTTAGTCAAAATATATTTGGTTATCTTCTACAAAAAACTGATGACGTCAGCTCAAAAGTTTGCCGAATAAATCGTATCTAAAATGTACAAAATATGATGAGTCTGTACTTGTGATTTATCATTCCAATCATATTTTTGGATTTGCATATGCAGGGTGACTCAAAAAAATTAATGAAGGCGTGAATTTATTTTATCGATTTAATCAGGAATTAGAAAACCGAATGCTTTGAAATCTTGGGTATATTTTAAAGTTATTATAAGCATGGTAAACTTTTGTTCAAAATGTATTTGTTCATCCCTCCTAAAAAAATTGATGACGTCACCCTTAAATTTTGCTGAATAAATCCTATCTAAAATGCAAAAAATATGATGAGTTTGTACTTGTGATTTATCATTCCATTCATATTTTTTAGATTTTCTTAAGAGGTGGTTCAAAAAAATTAATGAAGTCAATTTATTTTATTGATTAAATTAAAGGCAACTCTTATTATTAGTATTACACCCCAACCAACCCAATTTGGTAGACACACAATTTGTCAAAGGAAAAACTCGGTTGAAACATAGGGGTAGCACGCTTATTTACATCGACTTTAACATTACAGACCTGCATTTGTTTTATGCGCTCACTTGGTTCCGCGAATGTGAAATAGACATGTTTATAATCAACCAATTGTGAATTTCACCGTCAAGAATTAAAATAAAACCCAATGTTTTATATAATAAGCGGAAGTCGAAGCAATAAAACCGATGGTCGTTTTGTTTACAGTTTCTCTGTTTGACTTTCACGTATGCTGTTACGCCTGTCATCTTAAATTAAGAATGTTTGTACATACACGATTTTCAGTTGCCTCTGATACGTATACGTGAGTAAATTGTTTCGTTATTTTATTGATTATTACAAATCAATATTCAAAACGACCCAATTCATTTTCCAGAAAATTTGAGAATATAATAATTTTATTCTTAATATTACACTACATCTATCCCAACTGACATACGTGTCCTTGCAAAAATGTTGATGACGTCATCGCAATTTTTTTTTAAATTCCCACTACAAAAATGTAATGAGAAAAAAAACACAATAGGCATGCAGTCGTCAAGTTTCCGACAGCGAGGGAAATACTGTCTAAACTCTTTAGACCAATTTTTTTCATTTTAACAATTCTGTAATTTTTCCATTTTTTTGAGTCGAAAGTTAAAAAATCGAAAACGTGGGCAATCGAGAAACTTGCAGCTGAAAAAAATAATTAAAAAGCAAAATTGGAATGAAGAAAAAACCAATCGAATCGAAAAACTGGTAAACCAAAAATTTAAAATCGCCAAAATTTTTGAAAATCGTACGACTGAACGATCGAAAAAATGAAAGATTAAATTGTGATAAATTGAAAAATTACATATTATTTAAAATGAAAACTGGAAAAACTCCAAATTAAAAATTGAGGAAACCAAAAATTAAAAAATCTAAAAATTGAAACATTGAAAACCGGAAAACTGAAGAAGTGACAAATTAAAATTGTAAGGAACAAAAAAAAAAAAAAAAAATCATAAAATCTGAACAATGAAAAAACAAAAAATTGTAAAAATGAAGAAAATAAAAAGCGAGACGAAAAATTGAAGATTTCAATGAAACATTAAATAAAAAATGGTAAAATTCGCATTTCCCTACAAAAATTTACCATTTTAAAGATGTTTTAAGTTATTATCGTGAAAAGATGACTACGTATATTAAGCTAAAAAAAGACAAATATAAGCCCCGCTCACCCACCCTGTCGCAATTGTGATGATTTTTTTGTATTCGTTGTGAGCCAAGAGGGTGGAGCTTAATTGCAAAACCCTTATTTCCCCAGAAGGAATTATCATTTTTGAGTATCGTGTTGTTCAAAGAATACTAAGTATATTAAGCAAAAATTAAAGCGAGATCTTATTTTTTGGCTTTCTTTTGTACTTCATAATACATATAGTTTGCTTTGAACAACACGATTACTCAGGAACATGTTTTACATACCAATTTCTCTAGCAATCTCAACTAATAGTCCAGTCAAATTAGCGATCAACCTCGGAATGAGAGATAATAAGCTGAATTTTCGTATATACCTTCATTTTAGCGTTCTAAATGTTGTCTCAAAAGTCTCATAAAATCTCGTGTCTGCGTCGTCAGTTATTCAAGGTCAAAGGTCAAGAAAAACAGTTTTTTGCGATTATCCCGGTTTCTATTGCTCCAATGATGTTAACACCTATTATCATAATTGTAGAGCACAAAGTTTGGGACAAATTTTATTTGAAACATTTTTTCATGCGCTCAATCGTTTATGAGATAGAGGGCAATGAGCGCGCAGCGCTCATCCATACGTACTGTAATGCAATCAACCGTGAATATCTGTGAATACTATCTTGAATTTTGAATAATTTGTATTATTTATCAATTAATACGTTGTATTTAATACCATTTTACATATTTTTAATACATTCATTTAATTATACTTACCTACTTTGTGGAATTAAAAACTCTTTAAATGAAATACTTATTGTAGGTATATCTTAATTTATTGAAAGTAGATTTTAAGTAGAAAAATAATTAAGTACTTTATCTTTCAAATGTGTAAGTTTTTAGATATTAGATAATATATTATACTTGTTATATTATTATATATCTTAAAGTTATATTAATTTTTTCAAAGTAAATTTTAAGGAAGTAAAATGAGTTAATATATTTTAATTTTACCTTTGTTCAGGAGTTGTACATT